TTCCTGCCATGCAGGGGGTCGGAATCGATGATCTGTTGTGGTCCCTTCCGACCCTAACATCTATGAATCTATGAATCTACGTTAAGCAAGTGCACAGACATTCATTTTCAATCCCAGAAATGCAGCCACATACCTGCAGTGGCCCAGTTCAGAAACCGAAGGGTGCTAGAGCACACTTTCCCACTCATCTGGAACAGACAGCTTGGGCCATGGGGGTGGATTTCCAGTGGAGGTGCAAAGCAACCTAGGATGCTGGGGGACTGTGAGTTAACTTGAATCTAAAGGGGATCTGGGACAGAAGTTCAGTAAAACAATTTAACCTAAATCAGTTAAGTCTGATACTATATCCATCCAGGTTTATCTTACACTGGTTTTGGACATTTTGAAAGTGGTTTATGTTTACTGAACTTCTCTTGTGTTACAGATTTGACCTGGTTTCCAGTCATTAATACCAGTTTGTGTAATTCCTCTCCCTAGTGGAAGATTTTAAACCAGCTATTTTCTACATTTTTTTTTTACATGCTGTGGTGGGCCAGTAGGGGGCGCTCCTGCATTGAGCCACCCACCTCATTGCACCCGACCACCTTCCAGGCTCCGAGTGCCTCCCTGGGGGTGCCTCACATCTGGCCCACCCTGGAGCACACCTGTTAGCGTGGGGGTAACGCTGCCACCACCCAAGGATGGGCTTGATTCTGGCTCTGCACACCCTGGGAAACACAGTCCTAGTAGCCTTTGAGGGTACTTGATTCACTTCAAGAACTTGGGATGCTTCCCTCAGTTGGAAGGACCAGTAGTGGTCTCCCTTACACAGCCAAACCAAGGGGACCCCAAGGCATAATCTAGACCCACTCCCAATAAGTCTCCCATGCTAAGTACAAAGGAGAACTTTATTGGTTACAAGGGGTAGGGTTTGAATAGGGTACAGGGTAGAGTAATATCAGAAATCACATAGAGCAAACTGGCATGGCTGGGTAGCCTTGGATCACGCATCTGAGTTACTGCAAACTATACATCTAGTTAGATCTCAGGCAGCTTACTCACAGGTATCATCCAGAAGCAGATGGAGATTCCCTCTGGAGGCAGGCAGTTCCTTGATCATGAGTTTGAGAGAGAGAGCAAGTTTCAGATGTTCCAGTTCTTCTCTCTCTCTGAATCTTCCTCATGGCTGCTGCCCCCTCCTCCTGGGCAGTCCTTAACTTATATAGCCTTTATGACCTCATTTACCTGGTCCAATGGAGGCCAGCACCTGTTGGCTGTCAGCCAACCAATTTGAAATGCATCACTAGTTGCTGGGTAGACTGGCAGTTCCTAGCTCCCCAGGGAACCCAAGCCCCTCACCCAGGTATGTGATGCCAGTCATGTAGGCAGAGGGAGCAGGTTTCCCCCCTCCCTTAGTTTTGTATCCAGCTCAGGTTACCTAAGGAGATAGGGTAAGGTGTGTACCTTCTGCAGGGCCCATCTTAACCAAACTGTCACAGAGCAGACTTTTTGGGGAGAAACAGAGGTGGCCTTCTGCCACACACGTTATTTTCTATTGTTGGGGTATTTTATAATCTTTTTATCAATCTTTTTATCAATCTTATCTTTTTATAAGTTTTTTATCAATCACTTATTTCCTGCGTACTGTTTCATTTTTGTTTTTTGGTGGTCTTTGGGTACCTAAGTAGAAATCCTGAATGAGCTGGGTATTTTGTCTGATATCATTAAACAGTTTATTTAAACTTTATTTAAAAAGCATTGTCTATATAGGAGAGCTTTGCATAACATACATAGTATTGAAAAAACTACTATATTGTGTCTGATATAAAATATATTTTAGAGAAATAAAACAATGAAAACTTGCTATTTAAATGATAACTTTAAACATAAATCTCCTACAAATCGAATCGGCACCCAAAACTTCACACAGCCCTATCAGGAACCAGGAAGAAAGTGCTGACAGTTAAAAATTAAAATAGCAGGTGCTTAACCTTTACTTGCACATTTTACATCATCTTGATAGTTGTTTCTGTTACTCTTTTTCCCAGCTTTGCTCTTATGTCCTTTAATGTATAGGTTACATCAGCTTAGACACCCTAGCATTCAGATTTATTGGTCAAATTTAGAGGCACTGTGTAAATATGTTAGATGCTGGAAAAGGTCATGAGACTAATGGCATCAGAGGAAGTCTACTTTTGGTCAGGGGTATATGTTAGAAGATGATAGTTAGAAACACAATTTATTTATCATAATTTAAATAATATTTAACTTAATATTAATTTATCTTAATTTATATTCTCTGAGATGCTTCTTGAATTTGGCCTCAATAACCAAATTCAGGGAGAATATCCAAGCATGATTTTATAGTTTGTAGCTGTGCAAACCATTCTACTTTGTTTGCAGTCTCAGATGTTAGTATTTCTACAGGAGGCCTATATGTGGCAGTTCTGTCATTCTAATCTGATTTGGAGCTGAATAGGAAGACTTCAGAATGTAGAATCACAGATGTAAAAGACCTGTTTGATCCTAAATCAGGAAGTTCATGCCTGGAGGATTCTGCATCCGATGCACCTTCTTTCTGTCATGTAGATGCTAAAATAGAAGATAAGGTGTTATTTTTGTAGTCAAGCGGTTTCAGCATTGATGCAGGAAGACCACAGCGAAGAGCAATCAGGATCTTGCTCTTCAGGTAAATGGAACTGACTGATCCATTTTCCCTCCCCTGAAGTCCAGTGCAGCATTATTCTCAACAGTTGATTCTCTAGTGGTTATTTTTCAATCCAATTTTAAATATGCAAAGTGTGTATGTTAATGTTAATGTTAACGAAGGGTTTTTGAACCCGAAAGCTTGCTTAATAATTTTTCTCCAACTATTTGGGTTGGTCTAATAAAAGATATCAAATTCACCCAAGGAACCTTGTCTGCCTATGTTAATATGCACATACAGATATACATACACATCCCAGTATATTCTTCCAAGGAAACAGTCTGAGTCCACAGTAAATTTGCCTCAGACTTAACCCATTGAGCTGGGCACTATGGGACTCTGTTTATGGGTCTACATTAGACAAAGATCAGCCCAAATTTATTCTATATGCATAACTTCAAACTGCATACTTCTAATGGAATTTAAGTCCAAAGTTTGATGAAAATTGTAACTCCTTATGAAATTCCATCCCTGTGAGCTTTGAGTTGGATAAGTGTACCAGGCTAACTGTCCAACCCAGAAATGCAGTCAGGCAAACCAACCTGATATTCATGGAAGAATCTGAAATCAAAGAACCTGAATTGGAAAAAAAAATATAAATATTTGCGACTAAACTGATATCCGAAGATCAAACACTCTGAGACACAAAAAGGTAGCCAAAAAGGTTTTTTCATCATTTGGAACCTATCTTGAGAACATAATCAAGTTCCAGGAAAAAATTGTAGCAATAAACAGCTCCATTGTACCCATATTGTGGTAGGCCTTTGGAATACTCAAGTGCTTTAAGATGAGTCAGGATACCTTAGAAAAGAAGAGGAGGTTCTTATACGAGTTACTGCATGCACTATTCAAACTGCTCCATTGAGAGGCTGTATATTCCTCATATGTTGCATAGAAGAGGCCTGTTAAGTTTTGAGCAGCTTTGCAAAAGTCAGATGGAAAGCTTGAGTTCCACTGGACAGCTGTTAGGACTGATCAGGATTTTAAGCCCCTGGGAAGGCAAGTATCAGGAAAACAGATGCTATTAGGCTTAGGAGTTTTTGGAATAATAGGAGCAGAAATTAATACATGGCAGATTTACTTCTGTGCTTTCCCTGAACCAAATTGATCATCAGCACTTTGTTGGTTGCTTGGTTGAGATATGGAAAGCTCTTTGGTGAAAAAGAGGGGCAAGGGTACACCATCCAGGACCAGATAATCCCAACAAACAATTATAGGAATTGATCCTGAAAAAAAACCCATGCCAACATATACAGACTGTGTGGCTGCATTTATGAAAGAAAACAACATATAATATCCAGGTTCCAGGTCCTCACTGGTTAAAAGTACCCTAAATAGTGCAGTACTGTGGCCAATGTGGTATATTAGCAATTGATCTATATTATAAAGTTGCTCAATGTCATCACCCCTTGGTGATGACATACAAGCTGTCTCCTGTGCTGAAAGATGATGAAGCCAGTACTTATCAGGAATCCACAACCATCAGAGAATGAACCATGCCACACAAGTACTACTCGTAGATACTGAAATGAGAAGAAAGTGTGCAATACATCATCAGGGAAAAGCTAATAAGGTACCTGTTCACAGAAATAAGACAATCTAGCTTCTCAAGAAAGTGAGCATAGTACTAGTAGTGCTCTCTGTGAACTGAGTTACTTTAAAGGCAACTAGGAAGGCTTTACAGTCACTGAAAATGGAGTGAACATTCCCATTTATTCAGAAGCTGCTCTCCTTTAGAAACAAGTATTACCTGGAAAGTTCTCTCTCTCTAAGTAGCAACATACATTGCCTGTCCATTGATGGCCTACCATATTTTGTTCATGAATCAACACATGTTGTCAATCTATGGCATATACTTAATTGTAGCAGCAGTGGTGTTATTATTTTATGATCTATTAACAGCTTGTTTATGGCTGAGGTGGTAATTTCATTTAAGTCTTTTATTTCCAGTTGTCATTTTAATGACCAAAAAGTGATGGTTGTTTAGTGGTCCTTATGAAATGGACATGGCAACCTTAACCAGTTCATTAGTGAACTGGAAAGTGAACACACAACACTCCCTTAGAGGTGAGGCTCTTCATGTTGAGGGCTGAGTATATTGGCAGGGTGTAATGGAAAAACTTCCATTTCTTCCTGTGTTCTGCCTGTTCTGTAGACAAACAGAGGATGGCATTTTTCTTTGCTTTCAATCTGACACCCTTCACCACCATTTGAATCTCTAAAAAATATTTTAAAGGTTTGACTTATAACCATAATAAGATAATAATTTGGGTTATAAAGCATATGTTGAAATAGGGTTAATCATATTTCAAGCTTGTAAATTAAACAAAGTAAATGAAGGTATCACTGTATTTATTCAACTACAACACGCACCTTTTTCTGAAAATTGGCTGCTGGAAAGAGGGGTGTATCTCTTAAACAAGGAAATATGGGAGCAGAGGGTTTGATCCTGTGAGAGGGAATCAAACTGCCTGGCTCCTCTTCCTGAGCCATGTGGGCACCCAGTGGTGCCTGTAGAGTCAGCTAAGGGCTCACCCAGCTCAAAAACAGGGGTCGAACAGTTCAGCTTCAGTGTGACTGGGCACTCAGCTGACTCAGCCAGCAAGTGCTACTAGCTGAACTGACATCCCAAGCCCCTTTTCTCTTCTTATGCTGAGTTGGATGTAAAGTCAGCAGCACCTGCCAAATGACTCAGCTGAGTGCCCAATTCTGATGGGATGGAACTGTCCAACCCCTGTTCTCAAGCAGGGTGGGTTCTCCACTGACTCTGCAATTTCTGCTGGCTATGATCTGGCCATCAGATGACCTGGCAGGGTCAGCCTCCAGCACCTGTCCATGTCCTGCAGAGTTAACAAAGCAGACATGAGTTTTTCTCTCCATGCCCTACTGCAGCTGCCTG